CTGTTTAAATCTTCATTATTAAAAACCCAAGAAAAAAGCAAAATTTAATAACCCAGCCATCTCATAATCATCATATACTAGCCTTCCTTCATCATCCCTCAAGAGTCCTATCCCTATCCTAACATTTTGTTTCTCCTTAATGTATTTAAAGAAATCCTTACCATTAATTTTTACATTTTCAGCCAACTTTTTCTCATACATCATTTTTGATATCCTAATTTCCTGTTTTACCAACTTTCATAATCTTCTAAGTCTCCAGTCATACCAGTCAATTTAAATTTCTTAAATTTTATTTCTTAAACTCTTTGTGAGCCAACCTGGTTTTTCACTTGTAGCTACTCTTTTCTTTCTATTAGGAATATGTTTACATTGAATATTTAAAAATATATCTGAACATTGTCTCCAAATAACTAAGCTGCCCAATTCACAACAAATAACTCTTGTTGCATCCCTTCAAAATTTGCTTTTTTAAAACTTGTAACCAAATTATCATTATTCCTTATCTCCATATGAAGTAAAACATTGACTGTAATAAGGCAATGATCACTTGCACTCAAATGTTCCCCAATTTCCACCCTCTCAATCATTTCTGTATTTGAAGTTAACAATAAGTCTAAAATAGCATGGTTTCTAATTCAGAGATCTATTTCTTTGTAATAAACATCTAACAAGTACTGGTATATTTAATTTTTCATTATATATGTAGTTCTTTCTTCATAAAACACACAACTCAAGTATTTTTATATACAAGTTTTGATAATTGATTACATCTTTTGAGCTATATTAGATAGAGATTGCCGTAGAAGCTAACAAACTTTCAAATTTGACATTAGGCATATTTATTCTGTACGTGTATCTAAGTGCTGAAACCTCTTTATAAAAGGTGTGTGCTGTCTTTTAGAAATTGTTCTGAAATATTTCTTTTCAAAGTTGTAAGTGTTATGTAAACAGCTGTCATGATTTAATGCTTTGTTTGCATGAAATTGATGCCACTATTTCAGAACATCCCAGTTAAACATAAAAATGTTTGAAAAAGAGAAAACTGAAGCTGATCAGGACTCGAACCCACATTCTTGCTTGGCTATATATCAATTTTCCAATAAAATAGAAATAAGTGAAGTAAGCTTTTGTCTGTAAACTAGTTTAACAGTAAAGGAGTTAAGAATTTCAGCTAGAAAAAAAGTGGTTAATTTTTACAACCAGATTGTTTATTAATGTTTAATCCATTAGATTTTGGTATATTTATTCTTTACCAAAATATTTCTGTTGTAGGTTCTCATCCATCGGCATTTTCTCATAAACACAGCAATTTTCTGGCAGCTAATAGCAACTATAATCATCTCAACTACCCCAAGCAATGGTCAGTTTACTACAATAAGCCATATGACCAGCAAATTGAACAGCTGCCTCAACAGGATCTTGATTATTCAAGATACCAGAATGGTTACTATAATCACCATTATCATGGAGGTGGTCAAAATAATCAGGGCCTTGACCAGGGGCAGTACTGGTCAGGGGACAACAGTGGTCAGAACATGGAACTAGGTTACCAGTTACCAGTAAGGGAAGGTATTACTAGAAAGTTTCTGTATTTGAAATGGGACTTGATTAATGAATGTTTTTAATCTTAGAAACAAAGTAATAGTAACAAACTGTTGAAGTTAGCAAGATACCTCAGTATTCACTTGAGTATCTTGGTGAGTTAAGTAATTACTCGTGAGGTAGTTGAATACTTAATTAAATTTAGATTTTTAATGATTATAATAATAGAAATGTAAACAATTTATTAGACAATCTAAACATCACGTCATAGTTTTTACATAGTCAGTAATACTAATTTTGATTATTATACCTGTAAGTAGTATTTTACAGTGTGTGTGTATATTTAAAAATGTTGACCCTGTTTAATTATCACTTAGATTTTTTTTCTAATATTTTGTGTTTTTATTATAGTAACATGGTTCCCATGGATCAGGGAAACTAGCAAAGTTAGTTTTTTATATTTTGTATTCCTGTCACAGGAAGCATCAGGGAATTTTATTTTACTGACAAAAGCCATAAAAAGTCAGTGACCTTCATGAGTTTCAGTGATGCTTATTGGACATAGATGGCAGAAATATTAAATTATCATCAGTGCCAAAACAACTGTATACAGGTTAATTCTGGTGCATTTAGCAAATAAGTATGTATATCTTATGCATGAACAGTGTTTTGTCTACATTAGACCTTTTTTTTTAACTGTTGGGGAGTATTAAAGCAGCAGCAGTAGGTAACATAAACAGTAGTTAGATTTGCACCTAAACAAAGACTGGACAAAGCTTTGTCATCCTAAAACTAAGTCACGGAGGATCGTTTTACTACAGAGTAAAACTAAAAGTCCTTAATAAATTGCTCTTTAGAAATAGGCTGTTTCCATGAAATACATTTTATTTTTATCTTACAGATTTTAGTGCATTAATAAAACAGTCCCAATGTCAGTAGTCATAGAAGGAACATGTAATACCCTGACATATTTATATAGGAAAGATTTGAAAGATGTTAAAACAGTTTAATTATTTTAGTAAAGACTGGTAGGTAAAAGATAGAACAAATCTACACAGTTTTGGTGAGTTTTATCTCACACCTGTACTTATATTTATTCAATTAATTCTCAAAAATAAGTAGTATGTAGTATAATAAGTTATCAGTAATTTTGTTTTAAACTTTTTTTAAACAAAATGTACATCATTAAGCATTGCCTGATACATATGATGTCATAATGCATAGTACTGATTGGGCAGGGGTTGTTGAAAAGCGTTATCTCCAAGAGATGGGTAGAATATCACCAGTGTCAGTTAAAGAAAATCCATATAAAGCAGAATATGGATGGCAGTGTATAATATCAGTACCTTGGAGATAACAATAAGTTTGGAAAAAACTAATAACAAAAATATTGAAATATATAATGTTTCATTGACAGTAACTGGTAATATGGCACATGTATGGCACCAGTGAATAACTGAATACATCCTATGTACCTAATAATCTATCATTTAATGCACTGGATATCTGCAGCCCATTTCATTTTATGCATTTCATTACATGTGCTTACATGAGCACACTTGAAAGTCTACTTATGCGTGCTAGTTATTGCACACATAAAAGACCGTATTCAGTGACTCTTTCAGCATGGACTTGGTCCCTGGGCCTGACCTCGTAACCATTTTGTTCTTGATATAGTTTTCATGCTATAACTTTTAAAGTACTAAACAAAATAAAAAATTTGTTTATTAAGTCTTAAAATTTGTAAAGCAATGTTTTTCTGATGCTTTTTTATTCTTTTCACATGTTGCCTATCT